GTGCCTTCTTGGACACGGAGTCTGTTGAATACACGGTGCTGTCTTGCAGACGGGGTCTGTTGAGTGCTGGGTGCCCCCTGGGACACGGAGTCCGTGGAATACCGGGTGCTGCCTTGGAGAGGGAGGCTGTTTAGTACAGAGTGATGTTTGAGAGACGGGGTCAGTTGACTCGTTGTTTACTGGTTTTTGTTTTGGAAGCACAGGCCGGAACCGGAATCGGAACCAGAACCGCGACCTGGAAAATCTTCGTTTGGACCACGAAGAAGAAAGAAACCGGAACCGGAACAGGAACCAAAAACCGTGCCTTGGGGGGTCTTCTTTGGGAGCCCGAAGAAAAAGGAAACCGACGCCGGAACCGGAACCGGAACTGAAACCAAAACCATGATCTGGATAGGCTTCTTTGGGGCCCCGAAGAAGAAGGAAACTGGGACCAGAACCGGATGCGGAACCAAAACCAGAACCGTGACTTGGAAGGTTTTCGTTGGGGCCCCGAGGAAGAAGGGAACCGGAACCAGAAGCGGAACCGGAACCGTAAACCGTGACCTGAGGGTGCTCTCTCGGAGACGGAGTATGTTGAGTAGTGGGTGCTCTCTGGCAGCGGGGTCTGTGGAGTACTGGGCGCCTTCTTGGACACGGAGTCTGTTGAGCGCACGGTGCTGTCTTGGAGACGGAGTCTTTTGAGTACTGGGTGATCCTTTGGACGCAGAGTCCGTTGAATATTGGGTGATGTCTTGGAGACGGAGGCCGTTGAGTAGTGGGCGCTTTCTTGGAGACGGAGTCCGTTGAAGACTGGGCGCTGTCTTGGAGACAAAATTATCGGAAGGTGGGAGGGAAGAGCATGAGGAGGAATGCGAGGAAGATAACAAGGAGGAGGAAGAGGAGGAGGAGGAGGAGGAGGAACAGGGCGCGGGAGGGATAATAATGAGGATAACCAAGAAAGACCGCGCAGAGAGGCGCAGGCGCAGCAGAAGCACACGGAGCGAACGACTCAACTGTCAAGCACAGTGAAACGCGAAAGCCCTGCTGAAACCCACTGCGTCGGTCGAGGCTGAACGCGCAGGGCGACCCAAACGAAGCCGGGCTAATTAAGCAGGGCGGTTGCTGTCAGGAGCGGGCCTGGTTCTCAGGAGCGCTTGGCCCTTGCTGACATAACCTTGGTGTTCTCAATATCGAACAGCAAATCTTCCGGCTGCGTCGGCGTTGCCGCGCAACCGCTCGGCGCATTCTGGTGTTTTCTAAAACAAATTTGTGTGGAATTGATTGCCTTAAAGGCAAGGCTGCAATTACGTTCGCATTTGCATTGCTGCGCGGTGTTCTGGGATGTGGCGGACGCGCGCGGCTGCGCACATGTATAATAGTAAACGGCAAAATGCCCCGGGTTCATATTCATTCCCACGTGCGTGATCCGATCAAGAAACGAAAAGCACTGCTCGCAAGCCTCAGTGTCGATGTGGGCAGTGAGATGCTTGTTCTCGTCGTTCCTGGGGTCCAATTTCTTTGCAGCCTCTGGGTCCTCCAAGCAACGAATGTGGTTGCGCGCGCGCCAACTGTCAATCATATAGTGTAAGAAGCTTAATAGCCGAGAAGTCGCCGTGCGGCCGCGCCGCTTCGGATTGGTGGCGTACTTCGCCAAGGCGCAAGCGTTGTCAAAAAATACCACATCAGGAACCCGACCACCGAGCCCTGCATCCCGGCACTCTTGGATGAATTGCGCAACGCCCGCCAAAACGACGTGCACTTGGCTCGCCCCTTCTCCAAACTGGCGTTCTTCCCGATCCAAAAAGAGCCGGCAACCGCTCACGGCGGCAATAATTCCCCCCCAAACGTCTGCGCTCCCATTTTTTGGGAGCTTTGCTTCCCTGCGCAGCTTTATCGATATGGCATTCGCCCTTGTCGCAGTCGTCCTCGGCGAGCACGTGCGTGCCTGAAGGGGCCGTCGCCTGTGAGCCACCGCGCGCTCTCTGGACGCGTTTCGTGCCGCGTGCCGCGGTAGTTTTCAGTCTGGACATGTCGTAGCTCCGGCGCATAGTCAGGCTCGCGTCAGAGGATTTCAACCATGCCTGCCGCGTGCCTTCGCCGCCCACCAACGGCTGCTCAACTTGATACTCGATCTCGCCTCCGACGGTAGCCCTGTGCTTGAGGATGCGGCCAACCTCTTCTGCAGGAGCGGGGAGATCCTGACGGGGCGGAAATGCCGCGCATGGATTTTATGTGTTTAAACTATTGTCGAATTTTCACCTACGGTAGCCGCGCAAGCACGACAACGGAACGCTCGGCTGGAACCCCGGGGCCCCCCGCGCATGAGAAATGCGGCCCCGGAAACCGATGGGGTAAGAGTTCGCCCAGGTGTCCTCAGCAACTGCGTCGTGGTCAGCGCAGTACAAGCCTGCCTGCAAAGGCGGCCTGGGGCGACCCTGCTGCAACCGCGCGCCCACTTCTGGGACGTGGCGCGGCGGGCCTTCCAAGCAAGCGCACAAGAAACGTTTGGCCCCTCGTTTCCCGTCGAGCCCAACCGCGAAATCCGCCGACCCCTGAGGGCCCGCAGGCGAGCGGGGGTCGCGGGCGGGGGCTCTCAGGGGGGGCCCTCGAGACCCGACGGCGTTTCCTGACAGCCCCGCTGGGCAACGGGGTGCGAGCGCGGCCCCGCGGACCGCGCAAGACGGCCAGGCCGCCTCTCGCCTTCCCGCGCCCCCGAGATCCCAGACCATGGCGCCCCGGAGAAGCCCGAGAAAAACATTGGCCCATGACGGCTTCAAAAAAAGGAAAACCCGCAGCGTGGGCGGACGCGGCAGAAGCCCATGGGATAACGAGAACAGGTGTCGCACGCGGCGACATGTTCAAGCGCCCACTTTCGCAGAAAACGCGCTCGCATTGTTGGGCGCAACGCCAGCAACCATGCGTCGTCGACGCCTGCTCTCGCTGACCAAAACTGCGCCCAATCCATTCTGCAATGGTAGAAGCGGGCAAGAACCGCACGATAGCCCAGGCAAACCATAAGCCTTCGATCATCAGAACTTTGTCGTTCGAACAGGTTGCGCAACGTTCCGATCTAATTGACCACTTGCGTTGATCGAAGAAAATGTCGCGAACTGCATGGAAAGACCCCCGGGCATGGTGCCCGCCGCCGCGCCCCGCGGCGCGCACTGAGGCGCAACGTTGCCCGAGCTCTACGCGGCGACCTTTAAATGAAGCGCGCGGACAAGCGCGCAAGGAGAACGGGGGCATCCAACATGCGTCTCGGCACGCGCATGCGCTGCATCATTGGAAGCAAACATAACATGACGAAACAAACATACGCATGAACAGCTGTACAACGGGGGTTCCTCCTAGAAACCACAACGCCCCCCGCGAAACCCAATGGCAACGAAGGGGGCGGCAAAAGAGGAGCGAGCGGACCTCCAACGGAGCAACTGTTGATAGAAAAAAACGCTGTGCCCACAGACGCCCCTCCCCTCATGAAGCCATGGCAAACTGAGCGGGGAGGGGGAAGGGGCAATTATGCACCGCGCCGCGCGCGTGCACCACAGCGCCTGCGTACGCCGCAACAGCCGTGTGCAACGCGCCGCCCGCGTATACCACAGTACTTGGGGGCGCCACAGCGCCGGTGCACGCACGCACACCGCAGCAACCATGTGCAACACAACGCCTGTGTACACCGCAGTGCTTGCGTGCACCGCAGCGCCTGTGCACGCCACAGCGCCTGTCTACACCACAGCATCCGCGTGCAACGCAGCGCTGGTGCACACCTCAATGCCTCCGTGCGTGGGACAGGTAGAAGGAGCATGTGCATCAGGATCTGATGCGGACAACTAAACGCCTCGCCAAGAAAGTTCTGACAATCGAATGCGACGTTTGTCCCTCCTCCCTCCTCCTCCTCCTCCCCCCTCCTCGTCCTCCTTTTTCCTCCTTATTGCCCCCTGTCGCGCGGCTTGGCGGTGCAACGCACGTGCGCATCTCAGCGTGCACCGCAGAATGGTCGATTGAATCGGGCCACTTGGTTCTCGGGCGGCCAGTTCAGCTGGAACCTCCTGGGCGCAAATGGGAGTTAGGGTGATGCGGGCGGACTCGGGGGGGCTCGTAGATTCCAGCGGCGCTCCTCTGTCCACGGGGATTTGTTTTCCATTGTTTCTCTGGAGTCCACGCGCGCTCCATTTTGTCAAAAAGATTCCTTCTCAAATTCTCTGCGCAACAATGGTGTTGTGTTGCGCGCGGCCTATGTGGTGCACGCAGGCGCCGCGGCGTACACAGGCACTGCAATGCGCGCAGGCATTGTGGTGTATACTGCCGCTGCGTTGCGCGCGGCTGATGTGGCGCACGGAGACGCTGCGGTGTGCGCAGGAGCTGCACAAACTGGCGCTTCGTTGCACGCGGCTGCTGTGGTGTACATCGGCGGCGTGGTGTACACAGGCGGCGGGCGCTGTGATGTACGCAGCCGTCGTGGTGCATATCGCCACCTACATGTTCGTGCTGCCCGTCCTCCGTCATTCCGAACCATTCCCAAACGCCGCCTGCGCAAAACGTGACGTCATCGACCCCCCCCCCGGGTGACTGCCGTCATCGCCCCGGACATAAAAACAAGCTTCAGCCGCGTCCGCGCGCGCGACGACGATGAGCGACGAGCGACGACGAACGACGAACGACGACGACGACGACGACGACGACGACGACGACGACGACGACGACGACGCCTGCGGACCAGACGCCAATGCGGATTCCTACGCGGGCACCTACGCGGATCCCAATGCGCACGGCGGCAGTGCCTGGAGCGCACTGGGGGGGGGGCGCTGCGTCGTAGGGGGAGGGGGGGGGGGGGCGGGGGCCATGGCGCCCGTCATGCCCCAAGCAATAAAGAAATGGCCTCTTGGCGAACGTCAGCCCCGCCTAGTCGGCGATTCGGGCGGAGGCTCCGAGGAGCGACGGAACGCCGCGAAGCGACCCAGAGAGCGAGCTGCGGCCTAGCGCGCGGGCCGCTTCTGCCCCCGCCGAGGCGCGCAGGGGGCCCCCAGCGCGGCCAGCCGCGTCGCCCAGTCCACGGGCTCCCGCCAGCGCTGCGCGGCCTGCGCCCCCAGGGCTGCCGCGCAGTCTAGCGTCTGGCCCCCGCGCAGCCGCGCCTGGCAGCGCCCGCAGAAGAAGCCGTTTCCGGGGTGCGCCTCGTCGCCCTCCAGCAGCCACACCTCGGTGGAGCCGGCGGTGGCGGTGTAGGCCGTCAGCTCCCGGCCCAGCGCGCCGCCGCAGGCGTCGCAGCTCGTCGGCGGCTCCCAGGTGGCGGGGAACCGCTCTGAGAAGGGCGCCCTGGCGACCTGGCGACGCAAGGCAAGACAGGGGGGCGATCGGCGCGCCCAGGTCCCATCGACGAGCAGGGCCGCTGCTTGCGCGCGACGGCCCTCCCCGCCGACGGGGCACCAGGCACCGCGTCGAACGACGCCCAGTCCCCCGGCGCCGGCCTCCTGGCAGAGAGTGCAAGAGTAGCCAGACGTCGCCGCCGGCGGAGGCGGCGCGCCAGCAGTGGCGCGGGCCCCCCTCAAGCAGCCGCGCCGCAAGCCCCCGCGAGCGGGGCGCGCAGGTCGGGCCGCGGCCGCCGCCGAGCCAGCCGCCGCGGCGCGCCCCTCCTCGGCCGCCGGCGCCGCCTGCAGGCGGCGGCGCGGCGGGCGCTCGGGCGAGGGCGCGGCGTCGCTGGGCCGGCGGCGCTCGGGGACCGCATCCGTGAGGTAGAAGTCCCCGGCCACCAGCCGCACGCGGCCGGCCCGCCGGCGCGCGCCCGCCTCTGCCGCCGCCGCCCACGCAGGCCTACGAGCGTCGGCCACAAGGTATTTCAACGGGCGCTGAACGACCCGTTCACAGCTAATGCGTCGCCCATTCGGATGCCGAGGCGCGGTTGGCGTCTACTACTCGAAGGCACATTTGCACAGGAACGCGGCGCTCGAGCTGCGTTGTCCGTCGGCGGCAACGCGTCGCCCGACGCGCCCGCGTAAGCACGATGGGAAAGTTCACCGTGCTTCCAGCGCTCTCTGGGCGATGGCCCGCGACGTAACAAGGCGGGCAGCGATGGCTGGGCATCGTCGAGGCGCCTACGGACAACGCCAGCACGCCGCATTCCGCTTCAATATGCCTCGAAAGTGGATGCCGCCCATGCCATTGCAGCCAAATTCGCAACGCAAAGGCTATGCAAGAGCAATTCAGCACCCTTCGAGAGAACCTTGTGGTCCACCCGAGGCCTGGAGTGCCGGCTGTTGTACCGGCGATCCAAAGGCCAGGTGCGGGCGTGGCACTGCTCGCAGCACACCCAGTAGGCCTCTTTGGGAAGGACCAAAAGACGCAAACGCGGCGCGCGCAAGCATGAATGCCGAACCCCGGAGAAGCCGACGCGCGCGAGAGCACGTTTGCTTCTCCATGGCGGCGAACATAGCCTGCGCGCCCCGCCAGCGGCCTTATGGACGCTTCCACGGGCCTGTGTACGGCTAGACCAGGCCCACTTGAGGCCTTCCTCAAAACGCCAGGCGTGGCGCAAGGATGTGGAAGCGAGCTCGGCGCACTGGACGACGCCACATCGCTGGCACAACGGCGGCGCCATCGGAACCAACGATGGCTACGGATGAATACCGAAACAACAACAGCACGAGGATCCCACGATCATCCTCATCAAGCTCGCCGTCACACCTTCATGATCTTCAACAAAGCCGTATTCGTCATCATTACCATCCTCTTCCTCATCAGCCTCGGCATCAGCCTGCCTCAGCATCAGCCTGCCTCAGCCTCAGCCTCAGCCTGCCTCAGCCTCAGCCTCAGCCTGCTTCAGCCTCAGCCTCAGTCTGCCTGCAGCCTCGGCCTCAGCCTCAGCCTGCCTCAGCCTCAGCCTGCTGCCTCAGCCTCAGCCTCAGCCTCAGCCTCAGCCTCAGCCTCAGCCTGCCTCAGCCTCAGCCTCAGCCTGCCTCAGCCTCAGCCTCAGCCTGCTTCAGCCTCAGCCTCAGTCTGCCTTCAGCCTCGGCCTCAGCCTCAGCCTGCCTCAGCCTCAGCCTGCATCAGCCTCAGCCTCAGCCTCAGCCTGCCTCAGCATCAGCCTCAGCCTCTCTGCCTTCAGCCTCGGCCTCAGCCTCAGCCTGCCTCAGCCTCAGCCTGCATCAGCCTCAGCCTCAGCCTGCCTCAGCATCAGCCTGCCTCAGCCTCAGCCTCAGCCTGCCTCAGCCTCAGCCTCAGCCTCAGCCTCAGCCTCAGCCTCAGCCAGCCTCAGCCTCAGCCTGCTCAGCCTCAGCCTCAGCCTCAGCAGCTCAGCCTGCCTCAGCCTCAGCCTCAGCCTCAGCCTCAGCCTCAGTCTGCCTTCAGCCTCAGCCTCAGCCTCAGCCTCAGGCCTCAGCCTCAGCCTCAGCCTCAGCCTCAGCCTCAGCCTCAGCCTGCCTCAGCCTCAGCCTCTCGCCTCAGCCCTCAGCCTCAGCCTCAGCCTGCTTCAGCCTCAGCCTCAGCCTCAGCCTCAGCCTCAGCATCAGCCTGCCTCAGCCTCAGCCTCAGCCTCAGCCTCAGCCTCAGCCTCAGCCTGCTTCAGCCTCAGCCTCAGTCTGCCTTCAGCCTCAGCCTCAGCCTCAGCCTCAGCCTCAGCCTCAGCCTGCCTCAGCCTCAGCCTCAGCCTCAGCCTCAGCCTGCCTCAGCCTCAGCCTCAGCCTGCTTCAGCCTCAGCCCCAGTCTGCCTTCAGCCTCAGCCTCAGCCTCAGCCTGCCGCAGCCTCAGCCTGCATGAGCCTCAGCCTCAGCCTGCATCAGCCTCAGCCTCCGCCTCAGCTTGCCTCAGCATCAGCCTGCCTCGGCCTCAGCCTCAGCCTGCCTCAGCCTCAGCATCAGCCTGCTCCGGGCATTCAAAATGTGGCCCGGGCCGGAACCAAAAACCAAAACCGGAATCAAAACCGGAACCGGAACCAGAACCGGAACCAAAACCAAAACCACCACCAGAACCATACTGCCGGGAATGGAGTTCTGGGAACTCGAAGAGCACGAAGTGGCCTACAGTTGGCTCCGGGCATTCAGAATGTGGCCCGGGAATGGAGTTCTGGGAACTCGAAGACCAAGAAGTGGCCTACAGTTGGCTCCGGGCATTCAGAATCATTCCCAGGAATGGAGTTCCGGGACCTCGAAGACCACGAAGAGTGTAATTGTTGGGTCAAAAAAAAGTCCCCAGCACCCTCCCCCGGATCGCGCCCAGACCCGCCTGGGGTGTCATGATGCTCTCGTTTGACCCTACTAGAAAACTATTAGTCTTCGCTGTTAGGTGAAGAAAACCGGAACCGGAACCGGAACCAAAACCGGAACCGTGACCTGGGGGGTCTTCTACAGAAGAAGAAGGAAACCGGAACCGGAACCGAAATCAAAACCGGAACCGTGACCAAAGGGGTCTTCTTCGAACCAAGAGAAGAAGGAAACCGGAACCGAAACCAAAACCGGAACCGTGACCTGGGGGGTCTTCTTCGAAGACAGAAGAAGAAGGAAACCGGAACCGGAACCGAAACCAGAACCAAAACCGTGACCAAAGGGGTCTTCTTCGAACCAAGAGAAGAAAGAAACCGGAACCGGAACTGGAACCAAAACCGAAACCGTGACCTGGGGGGCCTTCTTCGGGGCGAGAAGAAGAAAGAAGCCAGAACCGGAACCGGAACCAAAACCGAAACCGTGACCAGGGAGTCTTTCTTCGAGGCCAAGAGAAGAAGGAAACCGGAACCAGAACAGGAACTAGAACCAGAACCGTGACCAGGAGGTCTTCTTCGAGGCCAAGAGAACAAGGAAACCGGAACCGAAACCGGAACCGTGACCAGGGTGGTCTTCTTTGAGGCGAAAAGAAAAAGGAAACCGGAACCGGAACCAAAACCAGAACCAGAACCGTTACCTGGAGGGTGCTCTTCAAAGCCCCGAAGAAGAAGGATACCGGAACCGGAACCAAAACCAAAACCTGAAAGTCTTTTTCAGGCCTGGAAGAGAAAGGAAACCAGAACCAGAACCAGAACCGGAACCGTCACCAAAGGGGCCTTTTCCAGCCCCGCAAAAAGAAGGAAACCGGAACCGAAACCGGAACCGGAACCGGAACCAGAACCGGAACCGGAACCGGAACCAGAACCAAAACCAAAACCGGAACCAAAACCGGAACCGGAACCAGAACCGGAACCAAAACCAAAACCAAAACCACCACCAGAGCCATACTGCACAAACCAAAGTACGACAACGCACTACCTACCATGCAGCACCCCGACGGCACCACCATGGGCACCCAGAGCGAGATCAGCCGCGCCACACTCCAACATTTCGCCAACATCGAGTCCGCAGACATCAGGGACAAGTATGACCTCACGGACCGCTACAACAGCAGCCATACCGGCAGGACACCACCTGACGAGGTCTCGCCGCTCCTGCTCATGACACTCAACGACCTGGTGGAGAGCTTTGCGGACGGCAAGAAGGGACGCGCAGGAGGACCTGACGGCAACCTCGACGACATCTTCAAACTGGCGCCTGAGGAGACAGCGCGCCACTGGCATCCTGTCATCCTGAAGACGATCATGCGAGGTCGTGAACCAATCCTATTCAAGGCAGGCATCGCAGTAAAGCTTCACAAAGGCAGCGGCACGAGGTCTCTACTGGAGTACTACAGGTCGATCCTCCTCAACAACACGGTGGCCAAGCATTACCACAAGTGGCTTCGCACAACGACGTTGCGGGTCTGCAGCTGCCTGCTCCGCGTCACCCAGCACGGCGGGATCCCGAAGAAGTCTGGTGCGTACTCCACTCACACCATCAAGGCGTTCTTCCGGATCTGCAAGCGCAAACGTCTCAGCGCCGTTGGCATTCTGTTAGACCTTAGGCAGGCCTTCTACTCCGTCATCCGTGAGTTCGTCCTGGGGCGGGGGGGCGACAAGCCGTGGCTTCACAAGATTATGGCAGGCTGCGACCCGCCAGAATGGCTCATGTCTGTCATCCAGCACTTGATCGCAGCCCCTGGCTACCTAGCGCTCAACGATGTCGACGAGAACCTCCGATACCAGCTGGAAGAGGCACACGACGCGACCTTCTTTCAAGTACGTGGAGACGAACTGTGTGCGGAAAGCCGCAAAGGAACACGCCCAGGCAACGGACTGGCCGACCTCGTTTTCAACATCAGCTTCGCGCACGCCCTGGGCCCGCTGGAGCTGGAGTTGCACGCGGAAGGTTACTCCTTGCAGCTACCACCCTTGGGAGAGCAAGCTATTACCACCACAGGCCACCTTCGAGAACACGAAGCGACCCTACCAGAAGTTTCCTTCATGGACGACGCGACCTTCCTGTGCGTACTCAGGGACAATACAAAGATCGTGAGCAATATCTTCGACATATTGTCCATTATTGCGAGGAGACTCAAGATCTTCGGGCACGAGTTGCACCCCAAGAAGACCAAAGCCTTGCTGCAAATCGAAGGACATGCCAAACAGCACATCAAGGCGAAGATCTTCCAGACCAATCCCTTTCACGCTGCACCGCGAGGGGGGCCAACCGCTGACCAGCAT